GGGGGGGGGGGGGGGGGGGACCGGAACCTTTAATGCGGTTGTTATTCGTTCCCGGGAGCGTAAACTGACGGTACCTCCGGTTTCCGGTCAGACAGAATCTGGAAAAAGAATCGCATGGTCCTGTGTTCCTTTCGCCTCAGTCTTCTCATTCATTTCACAGATCACAATTCTTTTTGTTATCGCGGTCACCACGCCTGGGACCCGTAACAAACTGTGGGGGCTCGTCCGGGATCTCTCCTCTTCAGTTGTCGAGGGGCAGATCCAGTGATACCAGAACCGTGACAGCGAGTGGGCCACTATTTCAGCTCAGCCAGCCAGTGGGTGTTCGAGATACGACGACCAAAAGTGAAAAGGTATTGTCGCCACAAAAGGAAGCCAGACTGCTGTAGTGACAGGATAGTGCGCACTCATCACGTTAGAGCTGCAGTAAGAGACAGGAATAACTGAACTTAACCAAGCAGAATGTCGATAGAGCGGAAAAAACTGGCATGGAACATCCGGAGGCATTTGTTCGCACTTTCTAACGTACAGCTCTTCGAGCTAGCCACGAAGATTGCTACAGACAATGGCGACTCAATTCGGTTTAGGCAGACCGATGAAGAAAACTGCATGGAATATGTCACGGCCTACATCCAGTCTGACACACTGCTACGACTGGAGGACGAGGGGCTGAGCCAGCTGCTGCTGCTGAATGATGAAATAGATCAGTTTATTAAAAAGGGTTATCCTGCCGAGTTACCAGTCACTATAAAAGACCTTTCCTATCTACCTCGTAGAGAATTTAAACTATTCGGGGGACAGATTGGGGATAACAGCTCTGACATTAGTTACAACAGTCTCACCAAGCAGATTAATGAGGGTTTGGGAGAAGGATTTGCAGAAGCGGAGGTGGTTAAGGGCGTGCTGAGAATTGTCAAACCTGGCACCTTCAGAGACATGCTGATGCTAAAAGATGAACTGTCAATTTCCGAACTTCAGTGCTTCCTGAGGTCCCACCTTGGGGAAAAGGCAGTAACTGAAATGTTCCAGGAGTTAATGTGTGCGAGACAGGCCGATCAAGAGTCACCTCAGCAGTTTTTGTACCGTATGATCGGACTTAAGCAAAAACTCATCTTTCAGTCCAAACAGGCCAACGCAGACATTTCATACGACCCAAAGACTATACAAGAAGTCTTTCTTCACACAGTCTACCAAGGTTTGGGCCTTAAGTATGCAGACTTGAGGCAAAGACTAAGACCCCTTACTTTAAACAACAACGTCGCTGACGAAGAAATATTACGGGAGGTCGCCAAAATAATTAGTGACGAGAATGAACATCAGCGCAGGATAGGTCAGGTAATTCGCCAAAAACCTTCACAAGCCCAGAGTGCTGTACTGGAAACAAAGGAAGCAACGACAGCCAAGGAACAGAACACTGCCCACACGATTCAGCACCTCGCCGCCCAGGTACAAGCTTTAACTGATATGGTAACTAGCTTAATGGAACAGAAAACGGCAAATCAACACCACCTTTCCCCATCCCCAGCCCCACGGGCCCCTCCCTACCCCAACCCACATTCTTTACCCCAACCACAGTACGGCCGTCTCTCTCAACCCTCCACCAACCAAAACATGGCTCCTTTAAGAAGAACATCCCTTTGTCAGAAGTGTACTGAGATAAATCTCCAGGATTGTAGCCATTGCTTTGTCTGTGGCGAGTCTGGACATCGAGCAGTTGGGTGTCTGGAGCGGATAAAGTCTCGGGGAAACGGGAACCGGTCTCTGTCGAGGGACAGCCAGAGACTAACGCCAACCCCCAGTCCCAGCTTGTAAAGCCTGCTCCAACACAACCGGCACAACAATGCACCAGACATCAGAACCAGCGGCCTAGATGTCATAGGAAGGAACCCCGCACGTACTCCTGTCAAAGCGCTATAACATGTCAAGTCCCCCTAGTAGGTAAGAAGAGTACTCTAAATTGTTTGATTGGTGGCTACCCGGTAACAGTGTTATTTGACTCTGGTTCCCAAGTAAGCATAGTGGACAGACAGTGGGTTAAGAAGTATACCACCAATCACTCAGTGAGGCCTATAAGGGAATTGCTGGATAATGAACTCGAGGTTTACGCAGTTAATGGCCAAACAGTTCCATATGATGGGTGGGTTGAACTCACCGTTACGCTTGCCGGCCACGAAGACCCCAATCTTACAGTAGATGCCCCATTTCTAGTCAGTCAGTTGCAGATTCCTCAACCCTTAGTTGGAGCAAATGTGCTTGGGGTCATTATCCAAAGACAACAATCAGACAAGGATGCTAATGCCATACTCTACAGCCTTCTACGCAGAGCTTTTGGAATTGATGAGGAGCAAGTGGCGGCCATGGTCAATTTCATACAGGTGCCGAAACAGGAAGACTGTACCCCGGCCACGGTGAGGGTTGGCAAAGATAACGTTACTATTCTAGCTGGAAAAGCGGTTCAAGTATGGTGCAGGGTACCCCAAAACTTTGACACCTCTGACCTCCTTGTTCTGTACGAACCTGTTGAAGATAATGTTGCCCTAAGACATCTGAGTATAGGAGAGGGACTCCTGAAGGTTAACAACACACCGAGACCCTATGTTAAGATTCCTATATCCAACCACTCAAAAGATGATGTGTTCCTGCCAAGACGCACAGCTCTGGGGACAATCCAACATGTCACCAAATTAATAGAAACAAAAGCACCAGCAACCACCTCACATCAACCTAACCCCGTCACAAGATCGGCCACAGGGATAGACAAAACCACCCCTCCTAGTGATCCTCTTACTGAGCTCTGGCTGCCGCCAGTTGACCTTAGCCACCTCAGTCCAGACCAACAAAAGTCAGTTGAAAAGGTGTTAGTTGAAGAGTGTCGAGCATTCTCTCGTGACAGTGGCGATATAGGATGTATTCCCTCCCTACAAATGGAAATCAGACTTAAAGACGACACACCAGTCCAAAGAGCCTACGCATCCATCCCAAAGCCCCTCTACAGAGAAGTGAAGGAGTACATCCAAGAACTGTTAGGTAAGGGGTGGGTGGTAAAATCTCGGTCCCCCTACGCAGCCCCTGTCATCTGTGTTAGAAAGAGGGATGGATCTCTACGTTTATGTATTGACTACCGCCTCCTGAATAGCAAAACTGTTCCAGATAAACACCCACTCCCACGAATCCAGGACCTCACAGACTCACTGGGAGGTTACAGCTGGTTCTCCATCCTGGACCAAGGTAAGGCCTATCACCAAGGGTTCATCGCCGAAGGATCAAGGTACATGACCGCATTTACAACTCCATGGGGGCTCTACGAGTGGGTGAGGATACCCTTCGGGTTGTCCAATGCACCGGCGGCTTTCCAACGAAGTATGGGGGAGATGCTTGACACGCTTCGGGATGAGTGCTGTATTCCTTACCTTGACGATGTGCTTTGTTTCTCAAAGTCATTTGATGAACATGTCCGAGTTTTGCGTAAAGTTCTCAAGGCCTTACAACGCCATGGAGTCAAACTAAAACCCGAAAAGTGTGAACTGCTCCGCAAAGAGGTTCGGTATGTCGGTCGCCTAGTGTCTGCGGGGGGAGTGAAAGTGGACCCTAAAGACATTGAGGCAGTACAGGCACTCAAACACAGGAAACCCAAGACAGTGGGAGATGTCAGACAGCTCCTGGGATTCCTGAGTTATTTTCGGACATACGTGCAGGACTTCTCACGTATTGCGAAGCCCCTGTACGACCTACTCCAAGTCAAAACTGATACATCCCACACCAAACCCGCCAGAGGCAGAACAAAGCACCCCCAACAATCATCTCGGACTCCAATACAATGGGAAGGGGGACACCAAGCTATTCTTGAGCGCCTAATTGACATGTTGACCCAGCCACCAGTGTTGACCTATCCCGACTTTACTCGCCCCTTCATCCTCCACACAGATGCATCGCAGATTGGTCTGGGGGCGGTCCTGTATTAGAATCAGGACAATAAGATGAGAGTAATAGGCTACGGGTCACGTACTCTAACACCAGCCGAACAAAATTACCACTTGCACAGCGGAAAGCTAGAGTTTTTAGCCCTCAAGTGGGCAGTGTGTGACAAATTTAAAGATTACCTGTTCTATGCACCCCATTTCACCATCTTTACAGATAATAATCCTCTGACGTATGTTTTAAGCACAGCTAAGCTAAATGCTGTTGGGCACCGCTGGGTGGGACAACTGGCAGATTTCCACTTTGATGTAAAGTATCGTCCAGGAAAAGTCAACATCGATGCAGATGTGCTGTCTCGCTGTCCACTTGACATCGACTCCTTCATAGAAGAGTGTTCGGAAGAATTGTCACAGGACGCAGTCAATGCAGTTTGGGAGGGGAACAGGAGAGCTAAGCAAGGAGATGTACCCTGGGTTGCGGCCCTCAGCCTGGCTTCCTCAGATCAGCCCCTCAAAGAGTCGCTGCAGACCATTAGTCATGACAAATTAGTCCAGGAGCAAAGGGCAGACCCTGTGATTGGGAAAGCCTTAGAGATGAAGGAAAAAGACATCACGTTGTCCGGGGAGGACCGAGCTACAGCTGACCTGGACACCAAAAGACTTTTAAGAGAATGGGGTCGATTGTACATAGAGGACGACCTCCTCCTGTACAGGAAGACCACAGAACGGAAACAACTGGTCTTGCCTTCCGTTTATAAACGGGTAGTTCTCACACACCTCCATAATAACATGGGCCATGTTGGCGTGGAAAAAGTTTTGAGTCTGGCGAGGGAGCGTTTCTATTGGCCTGCCATGAGAGATTGAGGAATATGTTACAATATGGAATATGCCATGAGAGATTGAGGAATATGTTACAAGGAAGTGTCCTTGTATAAAGCAAAAGAAACCAGCAACACATGAGAGGGCGCCCATGGGCAGCATAACATCTAATGCTCCACTTGAACTAGTTTGTATCGATTTCCTTCACTTAGAGACTTGCAAAGGTGGCTTTGAGTACATCCTAGTTCTGGTGGATCATTTCACCAGGTTCGCCCAGGCTTACCCCACCAGAAATAAGACCGCTAAAACAGCGGCTGATCGCCTGTTTAATGACTTCATTCCAAAGTTCGGATACCCCTCTAAACTCCACCACGATCAGGGTCGGGAATTCGAAAATTAACTGTTCAAATCTCTCAGACAACTCGGCGGTGTGGGCCACTCGAGGACCTCTCCTTATCATCCACAAGGCAACCCTGTCGAGCGATTGAATCGGACTGTGTTACAGATGCTTCGTACCTTGGGAGAAAAAGAGAAACGAAATTGGAAGGACCATTTGCCCCATGTCATCCACGCTTATAATTGTACCAAGCATGAGGCAACAGGATTTTCCCCACATTACCTGATGTACGGCAGGCATCCTCGTCTCCCGGTAGACCTCCTTTTCGGCCTCCTGAGGGAAAGTGCCGAAACGCCACATGGATATGCTGATAAGTGGAGGGGGAAGATGGTGGAGGCATACCGTATCGCAAGCACAAACAGTCGACAGTCAAGCTCTAAAGGTAAGATGCACTATGACAAAAGGTGCAAGGGAGTAGCACTGCAGCCTGGAGACAGAGTACTGGTGCGTAATCTAAGTGAGAGAGGTGGGCCTGGCAAATTAAGGTCTTACTGGGAGCAGAACATCTACGTCGTGAGAGAGCAGGTAGGAGACAACCCGGTATATAAAGTAAGTCCGGAGACAAGGGGACGTCCACTTCGTACACTGCACAGGAACTTGCGGTTGCAGGTAAATGACTTGCCATTAGATATAGTCCAGAACCCCGCTGTCAAGCCACAAAAGGGAAATAGAAGGTCCAAGGAAAGGTCGACGGCTCCTGATCACTTCCAAAACCCAGAAATCAGGGACTCAGAAGATGGTGCACCTTTCTATTGGTGTTGTACTCCTGTTGACTATTCTCGAATTGAACATCCGTATACACCGGAGCAAGAACGATGCATTGATGCAGAAGAGGAACAGATGACCAACATGGAAAATGTGGAAGGCACGAACTTACCTCTGTCGGATGATGGCCAGGGAGAACCCCAGTTCCATGAGGAAATGGGGAGTCAAGAGTCCAGCCCCCAACCAGCATCAAGTTTTGGGCCAGAACAGGACTCAAGTCTAGAGGAATCACCCCGCTGGAGGCAGCTCACCAGGCAGAGACGACCAACGAGGATATTCACTTATCCATCTCTGGGTCAGCCAGACTATTGTCCTTGTCCAACGGTGAACACAGTCAATGTCCAGCCGGCAATGTATCCTTTATTGTATTACCATGCCGTTTACCCACAACCCCCTTACCCTACGACCAACCCTTACCTGCAGATACCATATACAGTTCCCTGCTTTTGGAATGAAGGACACTGAGTGACTATTCAGAGACATTGCATAAGAGACCTTTGATAGCACTATGTCTCGGGGAAACCAATGTAATATTGCAATGTCATTTGTGACTTATGGGATGCAACAGGAAGTTGTTATACATCCGACGGATTAAGTTGATTGATGCTGATGCGCTTTATTTGTGTCTTATGAAAGTTAAATATGTTGGACAGAGAATGCATTGATGGCAAAGAAATGTACTCGATTTTGAGTGATTTAACAGACAGAATCTGGGGAAAGAATCGCATGGTCCTGTGTTCCTTTCGCCTCAGTCTTCTCATTCATTTCACAGATCACAATTCTTTTTGTTATCGCGGTCACCGCGCCTGGGACCCGTAACATCAACTGCTGAGAACATTTGACTGATACAGAATTTGTTTTGTGCTTTGTCATTTAGAGTGAACCATCTTCACCATATCCAACTGTTCAAGTACAGGAGACCACTGACTGGAAAACTGTGATTACAAGAAGAGTCACTGCAGTCATCAAAGTTGATGGGATTGAGATCTGCCGGGTGAGCGGTGTGGATGAATGGGCTCTTGCAGCATTTTGTGCTTATTTTGTTTTCAATTTGACATATCCATCTCATTTGAAGAACACCCTGATGTTTCTTCAGCGGTATGTGTTGAAACTTACTGTGGATGGTGATAAGCCTCTACCCACCCCAGTTACCAGAATAATCAACCTCTTACAGTAACATCAGCAAAAATGCCCTGCCTGTTCAGCTGCCCTAAATATTCTCGAAGAACATTTACAATCATCAAGTTAATCCAGCACATTGGTCTCATTCATGCACATGAGCCAAATTTTTCAATAACTTGTGGTCTTAATAACTGTCAGAGATCATTTACAAAGTATGTGTCCTTTAGATGTCATGTTTACCGAAAACATAAAAATGCGGTGTTACAACAGACCACTACTACTACTACGACTACGACAGCGACTACTGACCCTCTGCCTCTGCTTGAGGAAGTTGAGGAAGAATGTACTACTGATGTTGCTTTTTTACCCCCAAACATGAACGAGCTGTTGCAGCAATTTAGAGAAAACCTTTTTGCCTTCATTTTGAAATGCAGAGGAAAAAATCACCTGCCTCAGTCAGTCCAGCAAGAAATTTTGGATGATGTTAATTTCCTGTTTAGTTTTTTTTAGAGAGAACTATGACGAATTTCTTGCATATCATCTAGAAAAAAATGCCTTTGATCTTGCAGCATGTCCAGAACTTCAAGAAGTGCTACAGTCCCCAGATTTTTTTTCAGAGGCCTCAAGACTTGTTAGGTCTCCACACATGTTAAAAGAGTTTTGTAAAGAAAAATTTGAGATGACTAAACCTGTACAGTACACACTAAGAGACTCAAGTGGTAACAAGACTGGAAGTTGATCTTATGTTCCTATTTGTGAGGTATTAAGGAAATACTGTTCTCATGAGGACATTTGGGACCAAATACAAACTGAGCTGAATGTAGAAAAAGATGAACTTGTTCTAAATGATTATCGAGATGGACTTCATTTCAAAAACCACAAATTCTTTACAGGTAACCCACAAGCCCTAAGATTACATTTTTATGAAGATGAGTTCGAAGTATGTAATCCACTGGGGTCTAAACGTAACAAGCACAAATTGTGTGCAATTTATTATACTGTTGGAAATGTGGGTACAAAGTATTGCTCTCAGTTAAAACATATTCATTTAGCTTTACTTGTCCGCTACTGCCATGTAAAACAATTTGGATTGGATGAAATTTTGAAGCCATTGATCGATGATCTTAAAAAGCTTTCATCAGAAGGAATTAATATTCTTGTTGATGGTTCGGAAAAAAATGTTTGCGCAGCTGTTGCAGTTATATCTGCTGATAACCTTTCCTCTCACTTAATAGGTGGATTCAGTATGTCTTTTAATGCTGGTAGAATTTGTAGGTACTGCATGGCCACACATGGTGACATTAAGAGATGCTTTAATGAATCTGACTTTGTTTTAAGAACTACAGATGTCCACAGATACCACTTAGAGTGTGTAAAGGAAAATCCAGACACCAAAACCATTTATGGTGTTACGGGAGGCTGTCCTTTTGACAAACTAGAGTACTTTAATATTACAACGTCTCTACCTCCGGATGTGATGCATGATTTTCTGGAAGGCGTAGTTCCTTTAGTGTTGCGGCTTGTTTTAAGTAAAGCTCACAGAGAGAAAATCATAACCATACAAGAGTTCAACGAAGAGCTGAGAAAACTTACTATTGGACAGAATGATAAGAAAAATAAGCCTGCTCCTCTTTCTGAAAAAATTCTAAAAAACTGCAGTATAGTAGGATCTGCCTCACAGAAATGGTGTTTATTTCGCCTGCTGCCCTTCTTGGTAGCACACAGAATTCCTGAGGGCTGTAGCTACTGGCATGTCTACTTACTTTGTCGTGAAATTTCTGACATTGTAATGGCACCAGTTGTAAAAAAAGAATGGCTTCCCACTCTTGATCTCTTAGTTTCTGAGTTTTTCTCATGTACAGTTAAAGAATTTGGTGATGTTCTCACTCCAAAATGTCATTATTTAATCCATTACTCTCGTTTGATGTTATGTTATGGGCCTTTGCGTTCTTTATGGTGTTTAAGGTTTGAAGGAAAACATCAATATTTCAAACAGGTTGCCAGCACGTGTAGAAATTTTGTTAACATTTCATCCACTTTAAATAAGCGACATCAACATAGACAATGTTGGGAATTGTCTTCTGTTAATATGTTGGGGGAATATGAGAGAGTTGCTGGATGTTGTGTGAGCACACCATTTCAATCTTTGCCTTTGGCTCTACAGCATTCAGTGAAAGTGAATAAGAAATACAGCCATGTAAATTTTGAAAGCAAACAACTTCAACGAGTAACAGTAGTAGTGCTTAATGATGTCAAATACGGTGTTAAAGATGTGTTTACTGTGGGTCATCTGCATGCAGAAGCTGTTACATTGTTTTTTCAGATTAAGTACATTCTGAACATACACAGGCTGGTTATTGTGTGGCAAGCTGTTAATTCCTGTTTCCTTTTGTCGTCATTATTATTCATACTGTGTGAAATGTGAGAATGAATGGACTGTCCTCTCACCAGGTGAAGAGGTTGATTACCAGGCGTTAGATACCTACAATGTTGGTGACAAGTTATTTATTAGCACTAGATATTCTTGCTGAAGACAAACTGCTGTAAACTTCAAAATGTGCAGTAATTGATATAGCCTGTTTAATAAGGTGTATATTAATGTTAAACAGTAGTTATTTGTATTTGTCCAGTTGAATTTGTAATGATTGCACAGTGGACAATTTCCTGTACACCTATTACCTTTTTGTTTTTTTTTTTTTATTATATATATATATTTTGTTAATGACTGCTTTATACTTGTCAAATGGTCTGAGTTTTGAGTTTTTCATTGAAGAGAGTTTTGAGTTTTTCTTGACACAACTGCTGTTGTGAGGTGTAATGAATTAAATAGTTTTAAAAGAACATTTCTTAATAAAATTGTGTATTTGTTAGCCATGGTATTTATCGATTTATTTACACATGCACGCGGACACCAAAAGAATCAAAATGGTTGGGACAGTATCCTGAGGATGCTTTTAATAAGGTACACTTTTTGCCTTCATTGCAAGTGTGTACAGTTGTTCCTTGGGGTACAAAATTGCCCCTTAAATGATACAAAGATAGAAGGTACAATTTTGTACCTTAAAAGGTACAGTTTCGTACCTTTTTTTCTGAGAGTGCATAGTCCAGTCCTGAGGGGTTAACTGACAGAAAACTCCAGTCTTTCCACCCCTTCCAGTTTTCCCTCTTCGCATTGCTCCAGCTGTAAGGCCAAAAAGCGGCTTAGCAATCGAAGAACAGTTTGGGATGAAATGCTGATAATACAGGGCTAGGCCTAAAAACAACCGCACCTTTTTCTGACAAGGTGTAACCCCGTCACTCTCCATCAGGTCAATTTTCCTAAATGACGTAATTACATCAATTTTGTCCCTGTCAACAGAAACCCCTGTGTCATCAACCACATGACCCAAAAACCTGACAGACTTCTTCATGAAGTGACATTTCTTCTGTGACAATTTCAAATTGATTGCACGGAGTCTGCAGAAAACAGTCTCCAGCCTCTCCAAGTCTTCCGCTTCAGATGCCGCAAAGACAAGGAGATCGTCTAGATAACAAAGCAGGCTAGTAAAATTTAGATCACCAAAAATGCTGAGCATCATCCTCATAAAGGATGCTGGACTATTACATAACCCCTGCGGAAGACGATTGTACTCGTACAGCCCCAGAGGTGTAGTGAAGGCTGTATACTTCTTGTCAGACTCATGGAGAGGGACATTATAGAAGCCCGATGTTAAATCCATGGTACTAAAACAACATTGCCCGCAAGTGCTGCAAGACAATCCGACTGGTGTGGCAATGGGTGTGCATCCTTCACAGTCCTGGCGTTCAGCCAACGGAAATCAGTACAAACCCTCAAATCACCATTCTTCTTCCACACCATAACCAATGGGGAAGCGTACTCACTCACCGATTTGCGGATTATCTCGCACTCCTCCATTTCGGTCAGTACTTGCCTCAGTTTCTGGTAATGCGCAGGTGGGACTCGACAGTATGGCAGTCGGAAGGGTCTTTCATCTGAAAGGTGAATCCTATGGACGAAGTCCTTAACCTCCCCACAGTCCAAAGAATCCTTGGAGAAGACGTCTTTGTACTTAATAAGCAGGCCTGCCAGTTCTGACTTAGTAGACTGAGAGACCTCACACCCATTCAGGTCAATGTCACCCAAACCAGCTTCCTCGAGCAACTGACCTGGATCAGACCAGCAGGTGGTGCTCTGCGGAGAGCACAAGGCACTGTCGCCCCTCTGATTCGTGCTCTGGAAGATGCCCAAATCTTCCACTACCAGACAAGGCGACACATCCGCAAGTTTGGTGTTCCGACGTAGAAAAACTGGGTCTGAAGACGGGTTAAGCACCTTCATAGGGACCCATCGGTCACCCCACATAGAAGTGAT